ATCATGATATCCGGTCGATCCGCTTTTATTCTGATTGCAGTTTCCACTCGTCTGTCGACTCTGATCTCAACATTCTCATTCGCGACGCCTTCTGACAGAATGGCTTCGCAAGCACGGGAATGCTCTCAAATCATACTTCTTACAGAGTCCCAAGTGAATGCATCGTAAAACCTCATTGTGTCTTCTAGTATAATCGTGATGTAACATTTTTTCGCACTGCGTTGCTAGATGGTCCACTGTCTTCACACGTTCCTTACAATGTTGGCACATCCTTTCTCAGCTCCAAACATATTTCTATCTTGGAAATTACAGTATCGTGCTTCATTTTGCGGGTAATGTTTCCGTATCGTAGCCATTTTGATGAATCAACTATGGACGAGATTTTATTCGTCCGCAACTTGTATAGTTTCACATGGTGGGTTTTCTTCTCTATTTCGCTATACAAGAACGCCTTCCGGGCTGCTAATACGTTTTCAACGGTAGGATTTTCCCCTATGTTGTACCTAGTTTTTAGATAAAGCACAATAATTGCCAAGTACGTGTTATGAGCTTTCTCCTGCTTGAGAATCACTGCCCTTCTGGTACATGTAGGTGCGGTATCTACAAGAACATTATGTAGTTGAAGAAGCATAAGCTCACTATTCTGCTCAACATTATGAAGTCCACGTCCCAGCTTGTCTCTTGGCAGGTGCAGTCTTTCCAAGCATACAGGTTGCTTGTAAATTCCGTATTTGTATAGTAACTATCTGATATCGTTGTCTATAGCTCTGAAGTCTTCTGGCTTCAGCTCGAGCTCACCGATGTAATAATTTATTAATCGGTGAGCTCACTTTCAATATACTTTTGTAAATGCATCTGAGAAATTATTTGTAGATGTAGTATCAAATGCAGTTTGTATCAATGGATGGATGCCTGACATTATTCCCTCTGCAACTTCCATACCTCAAATACCATCGCTTCACACAGTGTTTCATCCGAAGATTCTCAGTCCACCAACAAAAGTATTGCATCATGAAGCATGTATCAGTTCACGGACAATCGCTTTGTTAAATCAGGATAATGTTCCTGTCAATAATTTGGATCATTTTTATAGTACTTACTCCGTTGACTATCATTGTTGATAATTTATTTTTAGCAGTTAGCTGCTGTCTTAGAATCAAATGCAGCTTTCCCTCCTCGAATTGTTTGTTTACTACGTAGGTTGAAATGTACAATAAAATGAAAGGCAAATAAACTTTTAGTATCGTTGCTTCATTGCTGAACTGATTTTTATAATATTATTGCTGAGAGCAATGGTCAAATTTGATTATTTTCCTCTTAATTTAATTATTCTGATTATAGCATTGCTAGTTTCTTTTCCCGAAAACAGATTATGTGAATTATATTCTGTGAGATATTCACAAGTGACAAAAATAAGATAGACTAAAATTGGTTAGAATATTTAGATTGTAGCAATTTATTGAGGACTGTTCGATTATTACTGTTATGATTGCAGTAAAAAGTACTTCAGATTGTTATTCCCTCTGTTATCAAATAATGATATCACCTGAGGCAAACTTATCAATCAGTGATTTGATGTGTTTACCTCAGTTGATATTATTTCTTGCGTTTATTACAAAGGGATTTTTACTATGAAGTGAGAAAGGAGTTTAGTTATGTTCGCGCAAACCCATCAATTAATGATAGAGCAATTATCGTAGATATCTTGTCGCAAATTTTCCATTTAACAGAATTTTTTAAAATATGTAATAGTTGTTTGATGCTCCGTGATTTGTATGTTACTGTGATGTTTTGAAGAATAATGATTATAAAGATACTATAAAGCATGCTGAATCATGAATATCTGTAATAATTTATAAAACAGGAGATAGTTATGCAAATCTCTTTTATGGTTTTGTTGCAGAAAATGTTGGATGTTCTGACATTTCTAAATACGTATAAATTGTTTCTTTGATTCGTTTTCTCACGATGTTCTTGGGTCTGAAGTTTTATGAATCTTGCATTTTTGTAAAATATGTTTCAGAATCAAAAATCCTATAATTGCTATGTTATCTGTCTATAAAATGCAATGGTCAAGAATTGCTGTTGTTCGTGATGTTTGCTTATATCAATATGTTGACCCTTTACCAGAAGTTTATCTTGAATCTTTTCTGCACTTTTTGTAGCTGGTGGTTATCTAAGCAGTTAAAAGTCAAAACTTGTTGGAACTGTGATTTAAAATTATGAAGATGACAAAGACAAGCTACACATTTTGGTATAAGATTTTGGAATATATTAGTATAAGTATTTTAACGCATAGTTCTTTATTTGGTTTTTGTTTCAATAAACTTTCCTTTAAACTTTGGTATCTGGGCTCATCTTTGTAATAACTGCAAATATCTATTTGTTTCAGATATCAAGATAATGACCCCAGGTGGGTCCAGTGTTCTTAGTTACTGAAATTATGTTAAGTCATTGAATGTAGCAGTTTTTGATTATCTTGACGTAACAGCGGTTTTATAAATTAGTTCCATTTGTGTTCCTTCCTTCTGTTCAGGCGTATTGGAATATTTATTATATACATCAGATCAAATGCGAACAATACTTTATTTCAAGTTTACCAAATCTTTTTCGGCTCGAGATATCACCAATCTTATGTAAGTACTCAGCGTAATGATTAATGTTTGTTCGTTTTTTGCATTTTCATTTGAGAATAGAGATCGTTTGAATTTTGATCAAAGTGATTTTGAAGACGTGACAGTTTGTCACGTTTTTACTTTTTGCTTGCGGAGAACACTAATTGAAAGAAAAAGATATCTTTCAAGTTAATGAACATTCAGGTCAGTAAGTGGCTTGTATTCTTTTACGTCTATCAAAACTGTTTTAGGGGAATCAAGGTGCCTTTTTATTTTTATTTTTGTTGCCACAGAAGTGAATACTTCGTTGTCTTTTAACTGGAGGTTGGAAGAAATATGAAGGCGAGCATTATTTTTCAATGGGTTTGTTATCAAATGAAAGAAGCATTTACAAGGCACTTTTTTCGTACTTTCCGTCAAGTTACTACTAAACATTCTTTACTGAATATTTGGAAAATAGGATTGAAAGAAGTACATATACTTGGGAATATGCTAAGAAGTCTGGAAAAAAAAAACAGAAGTACCCTAAAAACTTTAATTTGGGCAGTTTCACTACTACCACTGTACTATTACCATCACTTCTTGGTTCCTCCTCCCCTGCAATTACCATTACAGTATAAGCTTCTTAGCACTACTCAATTTTTTAATTTCGGGGACACTCGAAAAGGCACAGAATGTTTCTTTCAATCTTCGATAGCGGCCCAGAACAGCGATAAACTGGAGTTGATTGTAAGACTTTTATCTTACTGCTTCAGGAACCAGGCTTTTGGTTATCATCCCTTCAAACAACTGCATTTGAAAAAAAAGATTTCCTCAATTAACATCAGCCTGAAAAGGTTTAGAAGAAATTCTAAAACAGAATAAATCTCCACATTACACTAAACTTGGAAAATCATTTTATAGCCAAATCACAGAGACAAGAACGAAAGCAGAAGCAAACATCCATAAACCTCGGCAACCTGCCCTAACCCAGTTCTAGGAAGTAGAATTGAGCACCCACAACTCTCGAATATATTAAATAATAGCAACTACTGAAAAACATTTGCAATTTTTCTAGTCACTTGGACGTATGTTCAATTCCTGAAATCTATTGGTCAAAGAGTGGAAATAATTTCCAAGTTCAATTTTAATACCGCAAAAAAAACTAAAAATCCCTTCCCTTTGGTTTCTCTATAAATAAACTTCCATGACTGGGCCAACATCAAATTACACTTGCTGCAAACTGACGTATTTTCAAAATCTTCAATTATTTAGCTTGAAATCTTAACTCAGATAGCACTATTAATCCACATTATATAATTATTAGGATAATCCTGAAAATCCAAAGGAAAAACAATGCTTTTTACTGATTCCCTCTCTGGATTTGCATATCATATTTAAGACTAACTATCTGTGAACTAATACAATTATTCACTGATTTATTTCGAAATAAGCATCTCTACTGGTCTAATTTATAGTTAGAGATAACTTCAAATTATATGTTTTCACTTGCAGCAATGAATTTACTTAGTTAAAGTCATATAATAACAGTCATTGTTAATAAGCATGTGTGCAGTACTAGAAATTATTTATGAGTTTTATCAGTACAATAAGAAATATCATAGTAAAACAACATGCACGGAAGTACATCCAGAAACACAAAAAAAGAAGTATATTTAAGTTGCTAATAAAAGACAAAATTAATAAGAAGTGTAAAAATATAAGTGAACCACAGACTCAAGAAATTTACTGCAGGTAGAAAATAAACTAAGATTTTTATAAATATGGACAATTAGATGTTTTTCGAAGAATTTTCTGTTACTTCCACCTCATCAAATCAGAATAAAACCATAGTCTGAACGACTTAATAACACAAAGCACAAGTCTTTTTTTCTATGCACTGATCTGCATTGCTAAAAGAGGTATTGATAAACCACTAACGTTTCAAAATATGCTGGAAGGCGACTTGCTGATTAAAACACACTCAAAAAAAATGGACAAACAGACATAAGACAGAAAAGTAATTTAAAGTCCGAAATCATGTTCAAGGAAGCACTAAAGTCCCATCATATTTGCTGTCTAAAAGTTTCTTACGATCAATATCATCAAAATATGAACTTTTTAATAGTTCCTTTGCAGTAATTCGTTCCTGTGGATTGTAAATAAGCATCTGCTGCAAATATTACAAAAACATGGAACAAGAACTTCAACAAGATGCAATTATGAAAACCATACTACTGGGAACATCACGCCAAAGTGTACTTACTTGCACAATTTTGATGCCATCTGCATCCATAAAGTGAATGAGGATTTCATCAAGTTGGTTTTGTTTCCACTGAGGGAACGATTCTGAGTAATCTCTCAGTTTTGAACATCCACGCCAAGTATTTTCATTAGGAGTTGACATCAAGCTAAAAAAAACTGGAGTGAATTATTGAAACTGAGGTAAATTATCAACATGTAGTAAAACATTTAACAAAACCTAAAAATACGAAAAATCTGATCGATCTCGGAGTCACCCATAAAGAGTACTTTCTTTGTAGCCATCTCAGCAGCAATGCAACCAATGCTCCATATATCGATTGCTCCTGTATATCTATTTTCACCAAGTAAAATTTCAGGTGGTTTGTAAAAGAGGGTACAAACCTGAAATATTTTCCTAAAAAAAATTTGAAGAATACAAAAAAATTCTAGCCAACACCAAGAGCAACATCATATATTTAAAATATTAAGATTAAAAAATAAACTTCTCGAGTCAAGCACGTTTCTTGTGAGGAGGTTTTTCCAAGACCAAAATCTGCAATTTTAATTCCACCTTTTCCATCAACAAGTAAATTTGATGGTTTTAAATCCCGATGCAAAATACTTCTTTGGTGACAATAACAGATCCCTTGCAGAATTTGATACAAAAATAATTTTTGCTGAAATATGCATAGTTCTTTTCACAAAGGTATTGCAACTATTTAATCGGAGATACTACAATGAACGGATCGATCATCAAAGCAACAGAAAAATTAGGAAACGAAAATACTGACTTCTACTTTCTCCATCCATTTACCACTAGGAATATTTGAGATATACATTTTCAGATCCATATCAATAAATTCAAATACCAGGTCTACTTGACTTTCATTCACTAGTATATCCTTAAGGCTGAAAATGATTTATCATTTTTTTAAATGTTTGCGATAAAGTACTGCATCTTGCTGCAGATTAATGGTTAAGAACTAAAAAATATTTTTGCAAATAGGGCGATAATAATAATAAAATCCAGAACTTTCAAATCATTATTATAATATTTGAACAATTAAAAGTGAAAGAAGTGAACTGTTTTTTAGTTTGGTTTGGAAATGTGTTTAATGCAATAAATCGACAAAACTGAATCACCAACCTATTCTGGAGAAATCATTCTTTTCGCATACTATAATCTCTAAATAATGAAACAAAACATACGAAACGATATTTGGATGGACAAGTGATTTTAGGAATGTTATTTCTCGTATGGATGAGTAAGGCAAACCACCACTCAATTTGACATTAGTTCGTATTTTCTTTACAGCTACGAAATCTCCTGTACATCTATCCATAGCTTTGAAAACGACACCATACGTTCCTGAAAAACAAAGTGGTTGTATGTATTATTAAAAATATTCTCATTGACTTAAATTTAACATTACCTTCACCAATCTTTTTAATTCTAGTGTACTTTTTCCATACTTCTGATTCAATTGAGTTTCCAATCATCAACCCAGCAAAGCTGTAACAAAAAAACGTATTTAGTCGCAAATAGCTATTGAAATCTTGTTTACGCATACAATAAAATATATTTTTCAGTTACCGTGGCATATTCAAGCTATTAGGCGCATCAAAAGTGATCAAACAAATGATAAGACAATATTGATCTGTTAATTTTAGTTAAAGGCAAATATTCAAGCCATTGCCATGCCATGCCTTATAGCACGATGAGAAATTTTTTAAGTTTAATTAGTGCCAAAAATCTCCATAATTAATGTTCTTCATATTAAAATGACTACTGGACTTCATTAATCAGCTTTAGCACATTTTTTGTTGGTGTTTTAATAAGCAACGTGTTTACAGTTATTGATTCAAAACCTATCTCATCATGAATAGTTTTCAAATTTAAGAGAAACGATTATTAGAGTTTACGAAGTTAAGCTGGTGACCAGAAAAGAAAAGAAGACAAATTGTTGGGAACTCTAAGAAATTATGAATTAGATTAATATACAGGTTAGAAAAGTTTGCATAATCTAATTTACAGAAGATGCTCGCATTATTGCCAACATTGATTTAAGATTCAGTCCCACCTGATTCAAGTTATCAAGAACAACCATCTTCTAAAATTTTCTATTACCACGTGAATTCAAAATATAAAACTATAGCGTCACGCAAACTAGTGCTGGTGATGTAGAGTCAGCACACAACAAAATGTAGACATTACGCTGGAAGATAAAATATGATATACTAGAGAAAGAGATTAGCCACACTTCCATTCAAATTTAAATTTGGCGAGAAGAGGACAGAACGCAAAAATGGAGAGATACAGCACAACTACGCATTTTTATGTATCAAATACGACCCAAAGAAAATTGATCGACTTCCTTCTCACTGTAGCATGGTAACTAATGTGATCATTACCAGGGCATGAATGGGCCGTAAATTAATCAGACAGACAAGTTCAGATTGAACAAATTAACATCTCAATTCTTATAGCTAGCATTGCTTCTACCTATGCATCCGTGTTCCAGACATATATGCAAACATACACGCACACATGGATGCAAATACACTCCACACGGTTACAGCTAATTTATATACGCAAGCACATCTGCATGTGCATGAAATAGCTCTCACAAGCACATACAGCTACAGCTACCTTCGTATGTAACTTAGTCAGAGTTATTTTCTTTAAATAGAAAAGTAATTACAAAAATGCTGTCTGATAACAGCACAACCTACATCACTGACTCGCAAGTACATGTAATAGGCGTACATATTTTTTAAATGCTCAGAGAACGTAATCCTCTGGATGATTGGAATCAGCGTCATTATAAATTAGTGTCTTAAGTTTGAAACACATGGATTCCGACATGCTGTGATCATTCATTGCATATTCAACATTCTTATTTGATGAGGAAATTTCTATGAAAATTAAAAATTGGTTTTACAAGGTTTTCAGCTGCCATATTAATAAGCTATTCAGAAGTAATAAAATTACCCAAGTACAAATATAAAATTCTGTTTTCTGTCTTTAACACGCAATACTGGAAAAATCCAAAAACACTACGTCACGATGAATAAGAGCACGTTCTTATTTCTACTTATTTGAGTGACTTATACATAAACTTCTTTCGAAGAATTTTATGAGTAACACCTTTCTGGCTGCTTCATGTTATTTATATCACACTAAACTGATTGCCTCGACATCATGAGTTTTAATCAAAATTACAGTAAGTGACAATAGTTTTAGGAAATGGAAATGACGCACCTAAAAGGATTGTGAAACAGCATAAATTAGTTCGAATTTTTAAAAACATGGAAGAAGGAATAGAATGGAGAATAAATGTATATAAAAATTACATTTCTAAGAGCATTTTCTAAGAGTGTAAGATATAACTGTCAGCAAAACGCATTTCCCTGTGGCTTGCTTTGTCGCATAAGATTCAGTAGCACCCACAGAGAACAATGCAGATAGAGTTAATAAGAAGCGGCAGCGGCAGGAGTCATCTCATCATTTCGTGTTGACAATGTATATGACCAGTTTGCCATAATTTCTAGAATGGACATCAGCTGGAAAAAGAAATGCTCGTACTTAAAGAACATAGTGCTCCGAAATTTGGAATCGTCTAACAGCTAAGTTATATTTTGGTCACACCATTCTAAATTTGTTTGCTGTGATGGCTGATTGTCCTGAGAGTGTAATTCATGTGGAAGTATCGCTTTTCTCACAGAGTTAGTTAACACAGCTTAGTAGTTTGTCAGTTAATCAAGTAACTGATGCTCACGCATACACTGCAGAGATAAATACACAGTTTTGTTCTGTTAACTTGTTTGCATCGCGTTCAAATGGGCAATAAATTGTAGAGTGAATGTGAGGCTGCTTACTTAAATTGCACTCCTTAATTTCTGGCTGCGAGTTAAATTGTAATGCAGCAACTCAGTGCTGACTGATGCTGCTTACCATAATAAAGAGCATATTCACTTTCATCTAAGTTTGATTTCGTGCACTTGCTCTCACATCTTTGCTGAGACATGACAGTTGTAATCGTTACCAGCACTTTGTATACGTCAAGTAGATAAAATAGCCGAACGTCTGCCTCATTTTACCAGTCTAGAACAAAATTAGTTATGAACTGTTTAACTTCATACGCATGCACACATCTTACTTGCAAATGTCCCATGGAATGTATCTTATGAGAGAAAAATGACTCGACAGAAAAACAATATAGCTAATGCACCAACAATTACGAAGCTAATGAAAAAAAAATGAAATGTGCAGACTTTATTATGTGTGAAACTTCCTCTACCATTAAGATGTGCAACCAGTTAATTTTTCATCATTGGAGTGATATGAACTGCTTTAAAATGCTGGACCAAGATAAATTTACTACTTAGTAAGTCCAAAGAGTCTACATCTAGGTTTGTTGACGTCATATAGAAATTAAACTTGTTTTACATCGTTACCGATTTTATGCGTACGACAGGTCAGATATGTCTACAGATAAGCTTGATGAGATACAGAGACACATCTTTACGATCGAGGAAAGGAACATACTGAAACGATTAAAGCTACTAATTACAGAACTGTGGAATTATGCACGAGTGAAAAGAATAACATGATTTCTACTGCAGAGAAATTCTCATACGTATTTTAGTTTACGTAGAATGTGAAGAAGCAACAAATTCAACGAAGTCTGAAACGATAGTCACTACGCTAGATTCCGAGCCCCACGAGATGTGACATCTAACCGCTTTCATGGAGATATATTACCAAATCCAGTCTAGAATCTCTGATCTTATCATTCAAATTTATGAACTAGAGATCTCAGAACATTTCACAATTAGTCCAATGTATTTTCGTTATACATTACAGGATTCAGCAACTTTACACTCTTTTCTCGTAAATTAATAGCATTCTATAAAAATGATGTCTTGAGAATGCTTACTGACATCTACTCCACTTTTAATACTTGATACGATGGCAATAATTCTTGACCATAAATACACAGATATAATGAAGCTATTACGAAGTCTATTTGTAAATGTAACAAATAATTCTAACCCACGGAAGTATAACATAGGGTGAACAACTCTCTAAAACTTACTGCTGATTTCTAGAAGTTTAGCTAAAAATAAAATTGCAATTTAAGGTATACAGCTTTGGCATAAAATACATGACCGAATAGTTGAACTAACAATGTTTTTAAAAAACACATGATACGTTATCATAAAGAATAGTACAGTACAAAAGAATTCTTTGTGACAGGCCCCTAAAACGGTGAAGACAAATTAATCATGTAATAGTCGTACATGACAACGAAAATATTTTGACTGCTTGAAGACTAATCAAAAGTGATATTTACCAATAAATCAGCAGAAGTTCAGTGCTTGGTCTTCGTTATGCCGAAAGTTCAGATATGAATTTAAAAAAGGCGCTACTTCACTCCTATCCTATTCATTACAAAGTAATCTTCAATTGAACATTTTTTCACAGAAGTACGGGATTCAATTACAAGCACTTTTAGTAATACAAATAATGTGCACTGAATTTTACGATAAATTCAAAATGTCAGGATCACACAAACTGAAACACTTTTTTCGAAACTTCAGTTATACTACTGTCAGCAACGTAATCAAGCATAACTGTGGGGTCTGACAGGTTTTAATGGATCGAAAAGTTTAGGATCATTTAAATATTTGGGGTCTTTCACAAATACTGGCATATAACCAGTACGACGACTAAGAGCAATTATTTCCAACAATCGTCTCTGTTGTCCGTCACATAGTCCAGTAATGTGTCTGAAAAATAGGCTCAGTGAGAGTAATTGATTACTTCATATTCGAATTTACCACATTACGTAGATAAAACTCACTGATCATAAACCCTTCCAGAAAACGTTGAAACGAATTGTTGCAATAAACGCGCGTTTTTATAATCCAATTCAATCTTTCTGGAGCAAAGAAAACACAGTTGTGCTGGTCTACAATATGGGTCCTTTTCCAACCTAATAACCCCTTCATCATCTACTGCGTAATTACTTGCCTTCCATGAAATAGATGATGACGATGCATAGAACGTTAACATGAGCGGTCTGACGTATGTTCTTAATGACAACATGCCTGATGGATAAAACCACTAAATCAAAGGAATCTTACTTTTAATTGAACTATAATAGGCGCGTTACGAAGACATTTTTCATACGATACTAAGATAACTAATAAAAAGCGAAATAGGTAAAACTCCAAAATGAGTCCATGCAGGCTGAAAAAATTTCAACATTAAGTCAAATATTAACTCCTACAACAAAAATGAATAATATTATTGAAATAACTACATCAGCTAAAAAAATACGCGAGATAAAAATTTAGTACACCAAGTTCATTTTACTTTGCATAACTGAACATGCATTACAAGTTGTCACTACATAATAAGCGAAATTATACAGAATCAACAAGGAATGAGGCAAAGAGCACGTAAACTTCTCAAATGTATAAACAATCTTTTAAATGAACACCTTAACTTACTAGTACACAGAAGCCATCTACGTGGCATTTCCCAATAAACTGCTTCTGTTAAAGCCAGTCAAATTTCTTTGCTTTCCGGCAGTTTCTCTTTGACTTAATTCTTCGGGATAAATCATGCCGAAACAATTTTTAAGGATTAATCAAATGAAAAACAATTAAGAGATCCCAACATAGACAATAAAATATTCATAGAACAAAAGAACTGAAAAATATGTATTATTCCATCAAATCACCTTTAGAACCTAATCGTTGAGGATCTTGACTAGGATAATAAACTTTTGTTGCTGCAGGTACATATGACATCATGCCTTCATATGACACCTAGAATGAGTAAATAGAAAAAACATTTCATTATTTTCCTGAATGAACTAAGTAAGAGAACTGGAAGTCATAAGAGATTTAAACTTTTGACTGTAATTCATGTACATGCTTCCATGTTAATCGAAATATTTACCTGTGGCACAATAAGATGTGAAGGTGGTGCGTAAGCTACTGCAGGAGGTATCGGAGGCATCGGTATGCGATCAATACGTGCACGTTTGGAAAAATCTGCAGACTCATTGAACAAATCCGGTACTGGACAAGCTGAAAACAAGATAATCCGACATTATTTCATGCAAATTTGTTTTTATAAAATAATTTTTGACTTCTGTTCATTCAATTCCAAGAAACTGAAAAATTCTGAAACGCAAAAGCAGACAAAAAATAACAAAAACTCAACTAAAACAGAGAACTTGAAGAAACTGAATAAAATGAATACTTACGATTAGGAAGACCAATAACTGGCTCTGCCTTCTCTTTTTCTTCTGCAACAGTTTGTGCTTGAGGTCGTCCCCATCTTATTTTCAGTCGCCTTCCTGAACTACAAAAATATATGCAACTAAATAGCTGCTATTATGCTTCCTGCAAGATAACTTAATAAGGTGCGTGGCCAACTATTACAACTAACAAAATTCAAGATTACAATAAAAAATAAGCCAGACAACCTTGTAAAATAAGCTTATTAAATGAGCGATCTGCAGCCTTCTCGGCAGCTTGGCGCGTTGTAAATGATATGAATGCACAACCTTTATTCGGTAATATATTAAGGCTACGTATTTCACCAAACTGATAGAAATAATCTCTGCAAAAATTATAAGCAGAATTGTTATTCGAGACTAAATAGTGAATAAACAGTGGTCAACACCAGATTTTCTGAAAATCTGAATGTAAAATCAATAAAAACATAGGAACTAAAGCTAAAAAACCTCAAATCAGTTTCATTTATTAATCCTGCCGGACCCATATCCCCAATATAAAGTGTCGTGATACTGGCGTCTTCTGGTGTTTGTAAAACAGGTAATGCTTTAGCACGATTTAAAAGCTTCTCAGCAACTGGATCATTGTTTCCGTAATAACGATCGCGCATGTTTTGATGACTTAGAGGATCATCCGGATCTGATGGCTTTTCATGCCTAAGATATTTCACAGATTGCAAAGTTGGTCAAAGATGTACCCATATCTCCAATATAAAGTGTCGTGATACTAAAATGACTAAGGAAATTTCATTTATAGAATGAAGGTACAAAACTAACCTATAAGGACATTCTTCACCGCGTCTACATTCACCTTTAACAAAAAATGAACAAATATGTGGCTTGTTCCGTTGATAATACGGTTGATTCCGAGCAAGCTTTTTAAGTAAATCATTTGATGCTAAAAATATGAAAACTAGGTCCGATGTAAAGATTAACATTACAAAAAGTTGATGCTATATCTTTGCTTTGAACTGAACAATTAGGCTTTTCAGCATAATTAAAAAAAGCTTTTTAAACCAATCGAAATAGAACTCAATAAATGACCTGCATCAGTAATTTTAGCAAGCGCACCAGCAGGGATAGTACCATCCGTCAGAGCTAGTTCCCGTTCTTGTTTTTGAATGTAATAATCACGATTCGCACCTTGCTTAGGCATATCGTCTTGTATTTGCAATGCATGATCACGAACTTGAACAGGTAAGCCTACAAACTGTGCTCAGTAAGAGATAGATTTTGATGACGCTAATAATTTAAATGCAAATAATAAAGGCGAGAATTACCAAATTCAAGATCTAGAAGACATGTCTGACAAACATTCTTCATCTTTGCACAGGTCTGACATACTTCTGTCTTTTTATATCGCATTCCTTTACCAGGCATCCAACGGAAAGACGTAAACGGACGTTGACAGATCTTGCATTCTGCTCCATGCCGATCTTTCAACTGCAAATAAAAAGCATAACGTGACTTTTGCAAATATATTTTCAAGGTCTGAACTGTCTAGTTTTTCTAAAGAACTGAAAAATACTGCAAAGAAGCTCACCATTCTGATATATGGATTTGATCCAAGACAAGACTGACAAAGAACTGGAAATTCCTGCAAAGTAAAGTATTTGGATACTGTTAAAAACAAGTTTACTCTTTTATTTGTATACATGGCAAAGCATAATCCTGTCACTTGAAGTTATATGAATGAAAAGTAAACAAGAGATAGAGCTTAAAATAATAATAGGTTTCTTAACTGACATAGAGACCGTTATTCTTACTCTAAGACTGCAAAAAATGTTCAAGCTAAAAAGTTTTCTTGCTAAAAACCGTGACGTACTGAGTCTTCCCACGTTTTTCGGTTATACTGATACGACGACTTCGACAACGCCATTGTAGATCACGTCCTGCAACATCTGCATATCAAAGTAATTCTTGAGATGAATAACCTTGCTTTTCAATACATACTACAGAGAACAAAATAATGTACAGATTATATCAGTAACGACTAAAGTCTTTTACTCAACCACTCAATAAGCAAAACTTTAAAGCCAACCATATAACATTAACAATGATACCACTTCGAGTTACTGCTTTTCAGACTTGAGAATTAAGTGTTTCATACTGCTCTATGTGCAAGACTATTTTGACATTGCGAAACTCTTTGTCTCAACTATTTAACTCGTGATATACTGAAAGCTGTTTGTGGGAATAATGTTTTGCCATTATTTCAGTCGTATTGGCGCATGGCAGAATTAGTGCATATTTAGCTCATTTTCATATTTTATTTAATGTCAAGGTGCGATAGTGTTCAGAGAAGCAGAAGTCAGTCATAGCTGCTTTTTATCGTGTTTATTTCGTTCTGCTCTTGTTTTTAACTGAATTTTGAGATTGTGGTAAAGATATTTCAATCTTATTCAGCGCAAGAAATGTACATTTAACTCTTAAGACTAAAAAATAAGTTAAGGACAGAATGTTTGTCGAGAAGTTTTAGTAGGAAAGTGGACGTACATTGAACAAACGATTGTCATATTTGACTTCTATTTAAATCTTTATCGTTCATTTGCATTTAGTTACTGTATTTGTTGTGAGTTTTCTTAATCTCAATCATTCTCTTGAGTACTAGCTTACTGGTCTTAGAGCGTTCAATAATTCAAAATTATATTTACATCTTACTCAATTCATGTATCTCTTTTCGACTTTCGGTACTGTGAGTAACTGTTTCATTTTCCATATTCTAGGAAGATGTGAGAGATTCAGGGTTCTATTATTACCCATTTTTCAGCTTTGATAAGTTGGTTACTCGCCTTTATTTGTCATTTCTGCCTTCAGGCAGGTTGTGTGAGGTGCTCACTGAAAAACATTGCTCATAATTTACACAAATTTTGGTCAGCTCGGTAGCAGTTAAAGGACACGACGGCAACAACAGTTTTATAAAGGATTTTCACAAGAGTTGGTAGAGTTGAATAGGTTTGATATTCATTGAATGAATAGTGAGACAAAATGTACCTATAAGCTTGACATGTTAGCGTGGTTTTATATGCCTGTGCTGTCTTTTTTTATTGTCCTGTTAAAAATATTTTTGCAGAATTCTACTTTTGTCTTTCTAATGCCCAGTTGTCATACTAGGATTTTATATCATATGGCTTCTGCAACAATTGGATTAAATGACTTGGCTTCATCATCTGACGATCTTATGGATGAGCAGTCTCCATTATTTTCATCCGTTTTGTCAAATGATGCGGTGATCCATTTGTCCAGAGCATGAACATTTCACAACATATATTTGAGCTGAGATTTTTAATTAAAAACATTTTCACGTCATGAAAATTCTAATGGAAAAAACTGACTTCAGGTATCTGAAACAAACATAATAGATATATCTGCTCACCATTCCCCTTCGGGCATGGACATTGATTTAAACCATATGGCTCCAGAGCGGCATAAGCTAACTGTTTTACCAAAAGTCTGGATACGTTTGAATGTAGGAGGGACGGTTAGTTTTTAAATTGTCTAGTCATAAGTTAATAATTGTCGTCAAGCTCATTGAATAAGGGCATTTGAGAAGTGCGAGCAAATGAAGATTTTTAAAGAATATGTGCCACAGGAATCGTAGGGTTCCAGCTATATTCCAGATTTTCCAAACTACTCGACAAACTTTATGTCGTGAAGCAAATTCATTTCTTGCTCGTCTTTGTAAAGATAACGACGAATTACCCAGTCAGAAGGTTTTTATATGTTTGTACGCTTATTGAATTTTTCTGATAGTGTTAGATTTCACTGCATTAGGGTTGGAATAGACATTCTTTCTGTTTACAGAGGGTTAGAAAACTATTTGTCATTTGTCACAAAGTACGTATCAAGAATTGAAAAGTGGAAATCTCAAGGATTGTGTTTAGGATGAAACCGGTGCCATATTGATTGATCGGGATCCTGAATATTTCGCTCCTGTATTGAATTACTTGCGACATGGCAAACTTGTTGTTAACAAGAATATTAGTATTGAAGGTACAAACTATAGTTGATTAAAAAAAAACTTTGTTGTAACTTCTGACTTGTAAGCCATCATTTGTAGGAGTTCTTGAAGAAGCAGAGTTTTATAATTTGCCGCAGTTAATTCATTTATGTACAGAACGGATAGCAGAATTCAGCCTGAAAAAAGCAAAGCAGGTTAGTAGAATGTTGGCTGAAGTAGGTCATGTTCAGTGCTCAATCATAATTATTAATGAGTAATAATGTGTGTAAAATATGAACATTCATTTTCCCTTTTCAGTTAATACTGGTTAATTGCAGTTCTTGTTTTCCATTAAGTTTCAAAAGTTCTGACAAAACTTTTTTAGACAAAGCATGTTTATCGCGTTCTGCAGTGCCATGAAGAAGAGTTGACTAATGTTGTGTCAGCCATGTCAGATGGTTGGAAATTTGTTCAGGTATATTTATATAGTTCGTCTTAGTTCTTTCAATGTATTGCGTGGTTGCATGTGTTTTTGCAGATATTTCTTGTTGTAGAGAAGTTATTGTTAATATATTACTACATATATGTGTTTAAAATCAAAATTGTTTGTGACTATTTTACGTCTGCAGTTGATTCCTATTGGCCAGTTCCACTATCAGAATGATTTGCAAAGTGAATATTTGTGTGTCGTTTCTCGAGAATTTCCCGATAACGAATTGAAAAATGGAGAACATACTGATCTCACCGATCGTGTTAAAGCTCTACAACAGAAAGCTCGCCGTAAGCTGATAATCAGTTCCATTTTTCTCACTTCATTTTAATCATCCGATTGAAATTTTTTTTTCCTTGAACAGATATTGTATTTTAGAGCACATTATCTCTTTAGTGACCAAATTTCCAAGTTATTGTCTGCATCATCCTCTAAGTGTTTCTGAATCGAAAGTTTTTAATTGTTATTAATATGTTTTTTACAGATCACTAGACGTGAGATGATGACTTTTGTTTCAGTCCAGGATTACTTGGTCGTCCTTCTTGCAATAGAGATATTTTTCTCCTATTGTTTGCTTATAATTCTCAGTAGTAGGCATTCTGGAATAATTTAAAACATTTTTAGCTAGTTCGAGTTTAAGAAGCTGATTAAAAGGAGCTTTGTATTATGTTTGCAACTTGATTGCCTTGTTAAAAATTTAATTGATACTTATTGTTTCCATATTAGAGATGTATGTGGTATACTGCTTTGCTAAAAGTTTTTTGTTGAAAGAATCATGTCACTTAATTAAGATACAGACTTAATTCCTTGTTTTATCAATGAGAATTTCATAGATCTCACCTTTTTATTATCTCGCGCTTTATTGAGTGGTTGTTTTTATTAGTATGTATCCACTTAATCCTAGCTTATATGCCTTTCAGTCGTCTCGGTCTTTGAAACTTAGCATGGTTTTAAGTGACCATTACTGTTACTGCCATTATAAAGGCATCACATATTGATATGCTTTCATAAATTTCTCAGTGAATAAATACTGATTTATAGTTTTTGTAGATTTTTTAAAATGAAATAAGATAGAAATTGGAATTTAAAAAGAAGTATATTGTATGATTCAAGCTCCTAATTCAAACAGTTTTAAAGCCTTTATCACTCACTTCATTGTTTGTTTTTAATTTTTTGTAATGCACGGCCAACTTTTTCGCTCAAAATGTTATTTAATGTGTTTATTATGTGGTGGTTGAATTGGTTTCATAGTTCATATATTAACTGAAGGTACAACTTGAAGTGCTCCTTGAGAGATTGCGCCAAAGGTTCCAGTGATATATTTGAAAGATAGGTTTTATATTTTGCTGTAATTCTTTGTCTTTTCTTAGATTCTGTATTCGTTCATACTCATTCAGTTTTATTTGTCCGTGTAAAAGTACTAGTCATTACACAATTTCATGCAATATATCAAATCCATCCTATATTTATGAAACACGAAGTTGTAATCATCGAAAATTTTGGAAAGGAACTGAATATAAATGCTACATTTTTAGAATTCGTCATCATTTGTAGCTGTTCTTAGATAAACGCAACATTTCATTGTTTTCTTTACTATTATGATTGGTCAGTGAAAGCAGTGCGGTTAGTTCATATTGAGGAGTGACCAAGCTACCCATGTTTTTGGAGGAGATTATCTGTATATTGTGTGGAAGCAAAGATATAAGATCAGTTAGCGTATTTGCTCTGTACTTGATTTAGGTCACGAATATAGCGATATAATGGTTAATTTCGCTTACCTGTTAGTCTCCCTTTATTTCAGTTGACGAAGCCGTGTCTATTTCTTCAGGAATAAATTGAACTAATGGCTTTGGTCTCTTGTTTACCGAAGCTATTACTATTGACAATGTGTCACATATCTGTTTCACGACTTCAGGAAATATGGATGATGAGAGATAAGAAGGGATAGCGTATTGATTTCTTTTCCTTAAGACAATCGATTTTAGGAACTATTGGTGTGCTTTAAATCTTTATGGGTGGTTGGCTGTTTCGTTTGTAAGTAACATTTTGGTTGTATTAACGGTGCGAAAGTTAATAAGGTATATGTAAAAAAGGATTGTAGGGTAAATGTCGTCAGTAGAAACGTACTATTATGTTTAACTTCATGGTAATTTAGGATTTATAAATTTCCATAGCGCAGTATTTGAAGTTATTTTATTCTTTCTCTATTTCTCAATGTCATTTTATAAGGTATGTACGTAGTGTAGTTCTTTTGTATGTGGCTGATTAGATTTTGCAGCTTAATGTCTCTCTTTTTTTGCTTCCACTTATTTTCGTACCCATTTGAGTAACGAAATACGTGTCTTTCCTGATTGTTGTATCTGCTGCTATTGTAGCAATTTTCATGTCATGTCAAGACGCTTTGAGGATAATCATTATGGACATATTCTTAAGATTAAGAAAAGTGGATTGGGTAGGATCACTGCTACTTTTAATAAACGTGATCCAAACTAAGTTGGTTTAGACCTTGTTTTTTTCTGTGTATAGAACGTATAGTAGTCTATGTCATTTGTACTAATATCGACAAGATATAGTTTGGAATGATAGAATGGTCTATTATAACTTTTTCGAATCGAAAATTTTGAAGACAATTATTGGTTGTTGAAAATGGAGAAAGAAGGAAGGTTGGATGCGGCTGGAGATAATCGTTGGGCGGAGTTGGTACTTTTTTACTTTCCTTATCTTTATTTTATATCAAATTCTGCCAAAAATTTTTTGTATTCTCTTGATTGGTTGCAAACTCCGAAATTAGGATTGTTACTGGACTGATAATTAATATCATTATAGGTATTTCATGTTTTAGCAGGAACGGTTCGTTTCAGAAGCAAGAGATAAGGAAGCCGATGTTTTATTTTTGGGAGATGATCATATTGCATTTCTTGAACAGTCGCTGGTCAGCTATTTTCTTTTTCTTATTAATTTGTGGTGAATTTTTAAACTGTTCAGTTTTTAATGGCCGTTTCCAATATCAACATTTAAGATCTATCGAGAAAATTTGGCCCCCTTGCACTGTTTATGCTTTGGTGCTTTTGGCGATAAAATCTCAAATCTATCGTGGAGACTTGACAATAATGTATTAAAAGGCTTGAATCCGAAGGTATTTCGGCAACTTTTATTTAAATCGTGTTCTGAAACATTTATCGGTTCGTTTTACATGCAATTTTCTTTTTATTGACTAAAAGGTTGCAGGTAATTGTTGTATCGATTGGCAACTCTGATTTTGATTTAAATAGAGAGCAGATGTTAGAAGCTCTAAAAAGTGTCGCGGTAATCATTAAGGAACAGAAGCCATCAGCGAAACTGTATTTTATGGTACTGAAAGCTCTACTTAGCTTTATTGTGTGGAGTAATTTCTTTCGTTTCCTGAAGGATTTTTGAGTTAATCCATTTTTTGCTCTGATCTATCAAAGTTTTTCTCTTGCGTATAGGACTATAATCCATCGCTTTTTAAATTTTTTGACGTTTCAGAAGCTTCTTCCATCTGGAAAAAGACCAAATAAGAGACGACAATTGGTAGCTCGAGTCAACGATAGTTTGGAAGGAGTACTAAAGGGTTTAGCAGAAGTGATTGACGTGGAACCTTCTATTGAAGGTTTGCTCACTGTGATTACTTCTTTTTGAGTGCGGTAAACATCCGTCGATTTATATCACCGAAACATTCAACATGGTTTTTTACCATCTATTGTATTATTCTTTTTTATTCATTTTAAAATTGTTTCTCAAATCTCTGAATTCTTTGATATCACAACAATAATTTTTGTCTTCGAACGGCAGCAATCAGAGATGTTCAAGAAGATTTTCAGGTGCAAATGGTCTGATTGAAACTCACGACATGTTTGATTACGTCCATCTCACTCAAGAAGGCTATCGTAAAATCTATGAACCAGTTCTTATTGCCGTAAATGCTGCACTCAATCCCGATCCTTAACCTATATTAATTTAAGCAAATAGTTATCTTTCAATTTTTCTACTCACAATCTAAAATACAGATGAAGATTACTAATTCAAACGAGTCCAAGTGACTTATAAAGTATTCCATTTGAGGCACTTTTTCTTGTCACAACTCACAACGCCTCATCTAAGTCACGTTCAGTTCAATATAATCTTCTTGGATAATGATATTTTATGAAATACAAGAACAGATTTTTTGCACTTATGGATATTAGAACAATAAGTCTTATTTTTCGTTAGGAGTTGTCGGACTTATCCATAGGCTCTTTATCGTTCAGTGAATTCTTGAATATAATTAAAGTTCAAGTTTTCTTACGTTGTGAAATTTGTTGAAAAATATTCGGAACTTGTCATATTCTAACCAGCAGATTTTTGAATTATAGTACCATTATTTTGTGAAGTGTTACTAAAATGATCTCACTTTTTAATATAATTCAATTGGTTTTACTCGTTCATTCTATTAATGATTTTCTTTTCCACTGTTGATTCTTCAGCTTTTCGCTTTCAATTCGTGGCTTTTAACTAGTTCAAATGTTTAGTTTCAAAGTTTCATGATATGCTGGTCATAAACGCAAAACTGTGATTCTTGTATTATCAGTTACTTTAAAACTACTGGATGTCATTTATTTGATATCATTTTAGCTGTACTTTATGAGAATTATATATTTATGCATTGTTCGTAGTTTTATTTGTACCTGTCTAGTTTTATTTGTAGAATTCTCCAGTATAAAAGGGATCTTGTTATTCTGGCTGTTTTTGATCCTAGTTTTTATTAAACTAATTTTTCATGTTTAATGTGGATTTGGTATAAATAGGATATGTTGATTTAGAGTTAATTTAATATATCGATATGGATTCCAGTTTTTGTGTTCGTTCTTTCTGATCAAAGTTTTAAGTTTTCTCGTCGATGGATTAATATTACAATGTTTGCTTCTGTGATTCTGGTATCCATTAGAGGAGTTCGTTCACTTAATCCTCATCATTTCCGTCCACCTTGGCCAATATTTTCCAAAGTATAAGACTTTTCCAATCTTTTTGAAAGTCAAATTATTATGAGCACGCATCAAATCAGACTTTTCTTGGTCAATAAAATTCACATTTAAATCCGTGTGATATTGCCAAATTCGGAATATTAGTGTCTCTGTTACAGGCTCAAGGATGGCGGAAACGCGGTCCTACTATACGTGAACACCTGCAACTTCCTGGTCAGGACCGCGAATTTCCGGAGCTATCACCCAAATTCAAGCAAGAAAACCCTGCGGAACTTTCTCGTAAGTTTTATTTGGTGTACTCAGATGCTGTTATATTACACGGAATCTCATTTCTTCAGATTATACTGGCACTCAGGTTACGGGTTTTGTCAATCCAGTCAACAATGAGATTGTTCATGTAAAGGAAATGTTCCCAGAGTTAGTTGTTCCAAACTTGCGAGGATTTCAACTACGCCCCTATGTATCTTACCGTACCGACTTCGAAATTGAAAAAAGATAAGTCATTCTGGCTGTTTCATATGGCTTTTTCTCGAAATTTGAATACAAGGGGTGCTGAGAATTAGTTACTGCTATTAACACTGTATGACTATTTTGCTACTTGTGACAGTTTTTTTTTTGTTCGTTTTTCCAAACTTCTAATATGAGTAAGATTCCAGGTGGAAAAGGTATAGAAAACTAGTGTTCAAGTATGGCAGTGAGGAAAATATTGAAACTGTGACATTCGAAGCAGAAAAGTGGCCTCCACCCAAAACCACATCCCGTTTTTTGTTCAATGTACATTACGCACCATTAATAAGGTTAAAATTTTTATAGCACTACAAATTATATTCCAAACTTCTCAAGTATTGTAAAGGAAATATTTTCTTGATTTTATGCTTCTAATTTGTTTTTAGTTGCTTTCAGGCGAATGTATAAAGATCAGGAGTATTTTGAAGATACTAAGATGATAAACACAGGTCTCGATGATTAGTGTGAACAGTGCTTTTTATGTCGTTATTATAGAGTCTTTTATCCTTCCTTCTGGGATGAACAGATAACATTTTTCTTTTGTTTTTTTCAAAATCTTGTACTCATATAAACTTCATCTACCATATTTGTTCTGTTTTTGGAAAAGCAGCCGAGAAAACGATGAGAGAACAGTCACATAAAAGGCATTTGAAAATTTAAATGCCTACTATATGATTGCGGTTGTCAATACTACTTTTTCCCTGATAAATACCTCTTGAGTTTTTTATCATGACACTGATTAAGATGGTATAATGTTCTCTTGGCCCGCATCTCTTAATTTCAATGACATTATGAGTTAACAAAGTTCTTCACTTCCAAATATTATCAAACTGATATACTGGTTCTGTAAAATGCACCTTTCATGTTATGAGTTCCAATATTTTAATGACATGGGTATTTTGTCTACAGCAATGATGATTCCAATGTAATTTCATTGTGGGATAATATTTAAGTAATTCAATTTTTATTAATTTACTCAAAATGTTCAAAATTGAAAAAAATAAAACAGAGTTTTAGACTTTGATACACAGGTCATAATGCTTAGAGGCATTTACAAGTTTCGAAGGGAAAGGCATGAAATAAACGTTACGCTCAAATATATTATTTATCTGATAGATTTGTCATAAGTTGATTATTTTTTAATCTTCTATTGTATAGCTAGATGTGGTAGTGGCGCTTCGACAGTCAGAACTCCATCCGTACTTAGTGTGCTGCTAATTAATTCTGGATTAGTACCACGAGGAAGCATAAATTCCTAGAAATTTGCGAGTCAGTTATTTTTGAAAGTAATAGTTCTAAAGTGAAAAAGTATTTACAAGATTTAAAAAACATGGGAAGCTTGTTTTTTGACTTTATTGCAGTAGCATTAGCTTACAATCAGGTAGTGAAAATATGTCACCTGATTGTACTCTCGAAATACTGTACGTTGCGGAGACTTTTCTTCATGCTTTGCATGAACCAGAAGTTTATTGTCAACCGTTTTTACTGTGACTTCCTCAGGTTTGTACTGTGCTACATCAAATCTGAAAGATCAGATTCAGTTATTTTCTATGCGATTTCGCAGAAGTGTAGAAAAATGATGTAAGAGATCTCAAACTGTGATCTTTGTTCACCCATGTTGGCATTTTGCGCATCATGCTAATATTTTCCAGAAGTGTCAGATTTATATTTGTTTAATTTTACCAAGATTTGAGCTCACCGAAGTCGCAATTTTCAGCTCATTAAGTCTTGGCACATTAAGTATATAATCTTTAGTAACTTAAGTATCGAAAGTAAAGTGTTATTGACCTAAGTCTTAAAGTTTTTCCATCACTTTCATCCTTAATGAGTGGCGACTTAAGATTTTCTAGGTACGGATCATATGTTGGTCGGATGCTCATCATGCCTGGTCGTGTGAAACCACCCTCGCTGCGAAACGTATCACTTGCGGGAGGCAAACCACCACCACTCTAGATATATAAATCTAGTTATGAAAATTTTAACATTAATAGAATTATGTCTAAAACAGGAACCACAGATTAAGTTAATTCATTGTAATCAAACTTTTAAATAGATTGAAGTAGAAAAAATGTTTAGTAACGCACTTGCGTTGAAGATTCGTAACGTCGAGATTCTTCACGATGATAACTGCTGGAACGATTATCAGTTTGAGATGATGGTTGTTGTGATGTTGGTGCATATCCTGCAACCGAATAGATAAATTTTACGTTTATATTTGAAAGTGCCAATTAATTGCAAACTTTTTGAAATAAATTTTAAATAAAATATCTGACTTCTAGGAAATGATCTTTTGGAAGAATAACAGAGTTTCTCAATATCAATTTTATAACCCTGAAACCATGTTAATCGTAGCTTAAAATTTTATCAGCGTTTCCAAACATTACTAATAACAATTTGAAACAAAATGACTTATTGGCTTACAGTTAACGTAATTACAACCTATGTTTGACTCATTCCAAATGCTATAAATGACTGAAAACGACCTAGAAGATTTACTGGAAAGGACAATATTGTCATAATAAGACACATTAAGCGTTTTATTACGACGTTTGAATTTGATGATTTAGCAATGTTTTTCGGCATTATTGGAAAAGCATAAAAATATTTAGACTTTTACAATTAAGAAACAACTAAATGAAACAAACTTAGCGATATTCGTGATTTTAGCACAGGAAGATAAGCATGAATATTAGCGAAACAAAAAAACAAATTTGGTAGTAGAATGCGTGAATGAGATTTTTAGTGAAAAAGGTAAGCTAAACGATTAGTAATCATAAGACTATAATGGATAAACGTGATAATTCCTTATCTTCGAAAATTGTGGCATAGAAATTTTTCCACGACAGTCACTTATTAGTTTTTAAAGAAGTATTACTAGGCATAAAAAGTATGTGCAAAAATCTACAACAAAGTAAATTGGTAGGAATTATTTTGAAAACACCAAAGAATGTACCACTACACTGAAAGACCGACTAACATATTTTGTTTAGATTTTCTGTTTTTATTATAAGCAGCATCGAATATCTGAATGATTTATGTAGTTTAAAACATTCCTACACTAGCAAAAATAATGAAGTCGGCATATATTATGAATATTGAATGCGTTGAACGAGATTACTGAGTGTATGTGAGATAGTCTGAAGTAAATAATTTCAATAATCACTGGCAAACATTGTCATTTTCGAATAAGATTTTTTAAAGAATAGTACTAAAGTTCGATAACCCTATTTTAAAGTCAAATCTAGATGGAAGAAGCTAACAAACTGCTGACCTATTATAATATTTCCGAGCGGGTTTCATGAAAAACTGTCATTTTCAAAATAACAAAAAAAAGAAGTAATATAAAAGAACAGATACCTTCAAATTCTCTTCTCAGACGCTTCATTTCTTCTTCGACATGCTTCATTTCATTTTCAAATCGTTCCCGCATACTTCCAAATTCAGTATCCAAAACGGAATAATTACTTGGAGTAACATCAATCTTTCTTTCATTTTGCATTTTTTCTTTCGGTTCTATAAAATGAACAAGAATACATACTTCCAAAAAAAGAAGTTTGGTAACAACAAAAGTCTTTATGACAAATCTAATCAATATAAACGAGATTTGAATGAAGCAAGAGTTAATAAAGGCTAGAAACGTAAACACGGACTTTTGAGCTTACATGATATTTTTAAACAAGTTTGTAAAAAACACGATTAGTCCTAAAGCACGATGGGGTTATATACGCGATTTTTTAAACATCAATATCTTAGATAAATAGATTTAAGCAACAAGAAGGTAATGATTCGATATGTACATCAAAGCATAGTACACCCGAAATATTAGAATCTTTAGTTTAAACTCGCTGCAAAATAACAAAAATTCATATATTCCATCCCACAGTTTATCGAAAAATTCTATCCTGTATTTTGCTTAACACATTTTACTTACCCACGCAAATCATTTACATGCTGATTAAAAATGATGCAGAGATGAGAGAAGAAAGTAGAACAACAGACAGTGAGAATTCTTGTTTAAAAATTAAAGCAATAAACACTATTTTATATCAAGTGATCATGAAAAAATATTTATCGCTGATGCATGTGACGCAAATACTGCATTAAACGATAACAATCTACATTGTCAACGCACTCGTTGCGTTAGATATGGGAGGGAGTGAAAAATAGTGCAAATTTTTCCACTGCAAAACACTGATAAACATCATTAAGAATGAAAGATCAGGAGACGAAAATAACAAATATATGAAATAACAATTTACTAACTCAGATTCAAATTCTTTACTTCCCTACTAATATGAATACTTGTCATGTACATACCATCTACTTGCCGTATATACATTATTCATACAGTGAATTTCCAAATACTGCTTATTACTCCATAAAAGTAAAAAAGGAAGTGGATGGTCCAGATGTGAAGATGCTGCATTCTTTATTTCTCGAATCTTATCTTCATATTCAAGTTCAAAAAATTTATAATCTTTGTATGCTTTGTTTGGTTTTTTAAATATTCATTTCATCATTACTGAAGCCAATTCCGCGAGAAAGCTTGAGTCGATGTAGTAAGGCATAGAACAGACTAAAATTTTTCTTGTAACAGTAATTTTCTGCACTCTCAGCTCTCAACTTATTTTCAACTTAAGTTATGTATTAGTAGATTCATTTTCAGAATAAAGTACAGCACAAACATTCTCTACATAAATGCGTAAACGTGAGTTAATTCGAAAACTTCAAAACCTTCATAACTAGCCTAAATACAATAATAAATAACCTTGGTTCCTGGTATGTGTATATATCTGCCTGGAAATATAATTAATAAAGTTAGCTGAAATGAAAAAATGCAGTTCATAAACCATTTTTCTTTGTTTAGATGTGAATCAACCAATTTTCAACCACAGTTTCTCTCTATACGCTTAAAGAATGTATCAGTTTTGCCAACAGTTCAGAAGATCACATGACGCGATCAACAAAATCTTCTCTCCCACTAACAGCTTAAGAATACAAAACATGCATGAATCAGAACATCACAATCTTAAGGTTATCTACAATTCTATTTACATGATTTTATGTGTCTGAAATGAATAACATTACTCAGCAGTCTCATTTTTCTACGCCGAATCAGTAGAAAAAAAAATCCTCTAAGTCATGTCATTAATCATTATTTGTGGATGATCTAAACGACTTCATAAAAAACTTAGTGGATACATATTTACTCTTCATTCGAGTAAGCTAATATTATTTAATCACGTCTACCACAAACATTTAAGAATATTTTATATCACACAAGTGCAAAGTCGGAATAATAATTGCGCGAGTAAACATTTGAAGATTTGTTTCCATCAATCCGAAATCCATACAGCAATACAAAGCAATATGCTAAGTAATGAAATTGAATATCTACCTCTTCATGCATATCCTTTAACAAATACAAATATGGATACTGACATTCTTTCGAAAAATCTTCATGCATTCTATATCTTTTTTAAAACCTGCTTCAAATTTATTTTTCTTACAAAACCTTAAGAATTCGATATCTTGATTTTACATGCTTATGATGATCCATACAATGTCAGTATTTTGAACTTTTGTTTTCAAAAAGATCTTATAACATCCTTCTTAAACCACTACGCTACAAATAAAATGAAGTTTCTAAAAGAAATCTAGGAGATAAGGTTACAACCGAATCCAATACACTGTAGAAACTGTTCAATAGCTGCACATTATAATTAATCATATTAAAAATTTGAAAATTGATTCTACGTACCGATTAAGGAACGCTGTAAAAAATGCAAAGAGTTGACATACATAAACAGAAGTCAAACACTGTTGGTGTTAAAAATTAAACCAAGCACATAAAGACATGGAGATAATCTTTGAACCAGAAAAAGCAAACCCATTTTGAGAAAGTTATACGAGTAGTAGCAACAATTGATAATAGATTGAGCAAAATAAGCATATATAAAGAGCACCGGAAGTATACATGAATATGCATGTATGTACAAATGTATGTGAGGGTGTGCAATATTTGTGAGGGTCGTGAAGGAGAGACAACACGGTGGTGGGCCACAGGTAATTTGTATATGTCATTAAATGAAAGAGCGTCGAATTGACTTGTCAGACACACACAGACGCATACACACGTGCTGAAAAACACATCGTATATATTTTCGTTACATCTTTATTATATTGTTTTCGACATCAATAAGAATAGAATGCAATCCCTTCCAAGAAACAAACATCACTAGTAAAATCGTTGAATTCTACACAGTTCTATACAATTTTCATAAACTTTAAACACACGGAGAAACTGTTGAGAACTACACAATATAAAACCTATTAATATGTCATAAATATACTGAATCCCCTTTTCACTGTTCAACTTACATAGTTGGCTGCACAAATATCCAATTAATGCTTTAAAATACAGATTTTAGTAGAGAGGTTAGATAACTTTACATGATACAAATTTTCCGAACAGTAAGACAAAAAAGAGCAATGGTGGAGTACAGCGAGAGTGCCGGAACACGATCCAAAGCAAGAATCAAGATGGTAGTAAAGGAAGTTAACCTCCGAACTTACTGCACATGATATATGCCACTAGTTTATGGTTCAATCATATATACATATATATATGATGAAAAAAATCGATAGCATACAAACGTAGAGTTGGTGTGAAATTGTATGCAAGGAACAGCGAATGTATTTCCTTCCTGACTAAAAACTTTCAGAAACAATCTTTCTCGAAAGTTATTTCATTTGTTCATTGATTCAATTCTTAGCCAAAGTGACTTCTAAAAGCTTATTTAATTTGGATATTTTCTATACTGAGGAAATAAGGTTCGTATCAGTCCTAGACGGTGTTTTTTTTACCTTGCGATTCGCTCTTTGGAGTCTTAACCTGCATTATTTTGTGATCAGGCAAAAATATTTAAATGCTAGTGATGAGTGCATAACTTTGTACAGTAACAGTTAGTGCTTTTCAACATTACAGAATCACAGGATTCGTATTTGTGACGTGTCACATTTACTGCACAATATACATGAAAATTGCTCGTCATTAAGCTAGAAAATAAACTATTAGTTTATTGAAACTGATACTGGAATAACTGATATTTGACAGATCAGGGTAATAAATGACTGAACTATAACTAGTATAACGCAATACTACCAGTATATTCACTTTTTTCATAGGAAAATGGAATTAATGACATTTAAATTTGCTTATTATTAGAATAAGTTTACAGCATTTAATGTGTGAAATTACACTTGGTATTCACAGATACGTGAATCGAGTAAAGGGAATGAATTCAAGTAATCTGCCAAAATACATCCACGAGCAAACAAATATCTTCTCTCAGTAGAGAAAATACGCATATTCTTGAGGATCCCGTTTACTTAACAACACCATACCATCAGCTTGTTTCCAGTACTTTCCAAATTTTGTGAAGTCTATCGAAGAGATATCAAATGCAGATATGCCTCTACAGTAAGTTCCTTACTCAATAAAGCTTCTGTTGAAGGGTTTCGTTACCTGTGCATGAAACGAAAATGAAATGAAGAGAAGCTAATAGAAATCTTTTGCTGCAAGAACACTCTGCACAAGGAAATGGGCGAGGAGTGAGTAATCAATTGAGAAAGCTTTCATAAGTTACTCCTTGCAATCGATAGCAAGTAAAGACCATTTTAAAAAAGTAAACACTTTGGCAGGTTTTTCAAGGAAAACAATGAATGGAAAGAAGGTGAAGTGTCAGCTGACAACGCAACCTCACTCATTCTCCACTCCTCTTCCACGTCAAATTCCTGAAAATAATGTATACTTCCTTTCCGGTTATCATGATATATTTCTAATTGAGTACTTCAGAACCCTCCTTCCTTCCTTCGTTAGCATTTATAAACAAGCATTGCGGTTCAAAGTTAAAAAAAGAGTGATTTCTTGAAAGTGCCTCCTGCTTTAAGCCACTTGAGAACAGCTGCTGTAAACTACCAATCTCATCTCATTCTATTTCACCTGGAGCCTGTATAATTTATCTAATCGTATAGAGTAACTCATCCTAAAAGCTGGAAGCAGTCAACCAATTCTCGTCATTTAATGGGATCAAAAATCAATTCTTTCTCAGTCAAGACAATGCCTGGTTATGAGAAACGTCTGATAGAGAAGTCCAAATAACCACTGGCCAAGCGTGAATACGCCTTATATCTAACACGTTGGAACAACTTTAACACTGACTTACAAATTTTCTTAGAATCTCTTTTAACGAAATTAATATGTAAGACACTCCTTCCGTGTTTCAAATATTCAAGTGAAAAATGCTTGTAGTACCTTTCAACGTCGGATTTTCTACTTTAGCTTATAAATACGAATGACGACTTCACAAACGCGCTAACAATTAAAAAAGCTTCTCAGGCATAACAGCGTGCTATATCCATCCTTCGCTCGACTTCTTATCCCATCGTTAATTTTTTATACTGATTCACTTTTTCATTAATTATAGAAGATCTAATAAGTCAACCAGTCAGCCTGTTAACCTACTTTCGATCTGCTATTTCTAAAAATGACGAAATTTGGCACAGTTCACTTTACTGCTCCGAATTTCTACTTTTTTTTCGAACCGATAAACAAAATTTTTAGCGCACTGAAAGCATTTTTTCAAAAACTCTAAACTTTAAGATTTTTGTTCTTTAGATAAACATCTTTACGATCTCCTCACAATGTAATTAAGTGCAAAAGTTGTTTCTGGACATATCATATTCCAGAGTATTCACAATCTTGATACATTTCCTACCGTTTACAAATTTAAGCACTCTCAAACATTGTTAGATTTAGCCAAGCTAATACAATTAATGAGAACACAAATGATTTTAGTTAAAGCAGAATGTGGAAGCATTGAAAAATCTCGCAAGAAATAATATGGTAGTACAACAGTAGACAAAACATCGTTCATTAACATTTCTCGACACTTGAGCATTACAATACCCATATAGGATTAGAAACGCTAAAAAATATTATTTTGACTACCTACCTGGTCATAATTTGTCAAATTTCACGGTCAAAATACAAGTCAGATATTTAGAACATGCGAATAATGTTCTGAACAATAACAAAAAACTAAGAAACAAAAGATTGTAGCAAACGGTAATTAATTTTTTATCATACGAACATTTCTCCATCTGGTTTTCAACATAGTAAATCCTTAATTCATCTCAAAACCAAGCTAAAATGCAAGACATGAATTCCAATATGCCAAACCATCATGCAGCTCCATTAATTTAGTTGGTACTTTTACAGCGGATAACTTTGAGTCTTATGAAACATTTTCTTAAACTGTGTAACTTTATTGTGAGAATACAGCTTAGCGACGACCATCTCCAAAAATTGCCCATTACGACGGAAACGTCTGGTGGCCTAAGATCAATCGAAAAGTAAAATTAGCTAGACTATAAAGTATATAGATGACAAAATTTTCAAAATTGGATTAAAGTATCGAAAAAATAAGATCAATCGCATAAATGAAGCAGTAAATTGATAAATTTTACTAGCTAACTTTGCATCAGAAATGAGGTGAGCTGTTTATTGATACTTAATAAACATGAGCAATAACGTTGAATCCTTTCAAATTTCGGACTTGAAAAAAGTTACGTTATTAGTCTGCATTTCTAGCAAATTCATGAATTTAATACAATTTTCCCATGATTAGGATTGATATTTAGCTTTGTTTCAGAAATATTTTATTAGAAGGCAAGAAGGAAAAATGCAGCAAACTCATTATATAATATAATCAAAAACGAACCCCAAGTGGCAAAATTGAACTGTCCATGCTAGGATGAACCTGCATATAACTTATATTCAATGTGATAACATGGTTAGCGACTATCCCCAATTCAACCATATTCAAACCTGAAAATTCAATAAATTTTAACAAATTTTAAAGAAAGTTAAAAATTTTAAAATTATATATATACATGGTTATATTACTCAAGTTTGAGTTTTATGGGTCTATTACTTAAATTTGAGTTTGAGGTAATCGTGAACGATAGACCGTGCCTGATCTAGAATGAAACACAACATTTTCTCGTAAATTCTGGTTTATAATCTTTTCTCTGCTCTACTTTGTCTGTTCTGGCGATTTCACCAGTGCGATCAGTTACAACAACAAACGTAATGATATCGACGATCAACGACGCCAGAACGATCGAAATGTTAGTAATACGAGAGAACATTTTAGCATTCAAATAGATAAGCTATCTATGGCTAGGAAGGAGTTTCTAAAGAACCTTCCACATCACAAGCGACTTCCAAAAAGCGAAAAGAAGTAATAGATGGTAATAATAATGCTCATGCAACCCCTTGTAGGAGCACTTCTGAAGGAACGAAGACGACACCATGGAAAGAAGGTAAAAAAGAAGGAAACACATGGCATGAATAAAGCGGAATAAAGGAAAAGAGCACGAAACCAAAAAGAAGAATGCTGTGTGGCCGTAGGATACCAAATTCCTGACACAGAAGTCCAAGAGGAAAATGGACTATGAACAAAGAAAAACTACATCTGGAAACAAAGTAGAAAACAATGGCAAAACAGATGAGGTTATAAAATGCTTCGTAAAAGATGTAAGAGAGCACTCTGTCACTTTACCGGAACCAGAAATCAGTAGGATGATTATGCTAACTCATTTGAGGAATCGAGGTTCCGCAGAGCAAATGGCCAGGAGAAGTGTTAAAGGCTGTTTTTAATCATTTCGGGAGGATGCCGAGAGGGGGATTGTCCTTGTTTAGTTTTCTGCACTGTGAGTTCCATACGCAATTAGCCTTTAAAAACAAGAAGCAAGCGAATGCTGCAATCACCAGTATTGCAAGTGTGCATGCTCGCAAAAGTTCTTCTTAGAGGAAACAACAAAGCGTTTCAAGATATTTGACACCTTTCGAGAATAAGCTACATAAGTCTAAGGTTTATCTAGACGTAAAGCAGAAGTACATTGTACTGATGCAAGAAGCACAAGGACGCATGAGAGACCAGACAAAGTGGACGCAGAAGATAATCCCGGAGAAAGCTGACTTCTTATACTTGAAACGGTAAACCAAGCTGCAGTTGAATATGCCCCACAGTTCCCCCACAAGTCAATGACTGATCTTGCAAGGCAGTTTTAGGTGGTAAAAAATGCTATGAAGAGACGACAAGGCGTGAGAAGCCATCAAGATGGAAGGTATGCACAGAATAGGAGATAAGTGTGAACAACTTCCACAAAACCCTCATAAAGCGGTATTTGGCCGGTGGAACACGTAAAAATAAAAACCTGAGGGAGGCCAAGAAGTGTATGAGGAGAATGAATCTCATACTTGCTCTAAAACGTGACTGTCATAAGGCACTAAGCATGTTGACAGAACGTGGGATAGTTTATGAAAATAAAATAAAAAATTATGAGACCCTATATACATTCTGAATTCAAAACACCAGATTTCAGTTGTTCAGAAAACGGTTCTATAGAAATCTGATCAAGAACAACCTGTTGGCAACAATGTAGGGGCAGAAGAAATGAAGGATTTTGGGGTACGATGTGGAACTCGAAAGTGGGAAACGATGATGACATTCGGCACAATGAATATCTGGAAGATTTCGTTCCAGTTTATGAAGTGCATGATATTTTCTCATCTGAAGCCGAATTTGGAAAGACAGTTTCCTGTTTGCCCAATGAAAGGCGACTAGCCATGATGGAATCTCTGCTGTTGTTCGTCTTATGCATGGACCCATTATCTCAAAAGATACACAAAAGTGGAGGTTAGAACTTCGTCATTAAGAAGTGAACCTCCTTACATCCAGATCTATGCAGAATAATGAGGCAGATTTGTTTGGATGGGATATAACAGAATCCATGGTTCTATAAAGGCATGACATATCTGATTCCTAAAGATGTCCCAAACTAAGGTAGTGACTTCAGGCAATAACCTGCATGTCAAACCTTTACAAGTTGACAACCAAATGTGTGACATGAGTCATACAGTTAGATATTGCCACGAGAAAACTATTGGCAGATAACTAGTTAGGAACTGTTAGGAAGGTTCAAGGTGCAAAAGAGCAGGCATTCTTTAACCTGGCGGTATGCAGAGAGCATGCAAATTAGTCATTTACCACGAGGTATGACGTTAGAAAAGCGTTCGATTCAGTTAGTCGCAACTATTTTGATTACGTGTAGTGAAATGCTCAACATGCCAACGTGCATCTGCAGGTTTCTGAGAAGCATCACCTCCAGATGGTCGGTTACATTGAAAATCAATGGAGAAGTCATAAATGGAGAGAAAAATACAGCGGGAAATCTTACAAGGTGACAGCCCTTCTCCGCTGTTGTTCGTTTTATACATGGACCTGTTGAGCCGTAAGCTCAATATCAGATATTCAAAGGTCATGTTCCCACCAAACAAGGAATGCATGTAACGAACCACTTATTATTTGTAGATAATCTCAAGCTCCTTGCTGCCGACGAGGATATCATGAAAGCTATGGCCAAAGAAGTTCAGAAGTTCTTTGAAATAGTAGAGTTAGACGTGAATCCAACAAAGTCAGTCATTAATACTAAGGTATGCGCTGATAAGGCGGTGCTCTTAGAAGGAGCTCAAGGATATAAATACCTAGGCATAATAGAGGACAGGACTAGTGCTACGACTCGAGAAAGCTACGATAGAGTGCGAGCAGAGATTTTGGTGAGTATTGAACGACTAGTCAAAACTAAATAGCAAGAACTTCATCAAGGCAATAGATGATCATGCTACTAATTTTATAAACTATTATACTGAAGTGCTTAAACTGGAACCAAAGGATTTCAAGAAACTGACCATAATATTATACAGTTACTAAATAAGAACGGAATTCAAAATCAACCAACATGTTTAGAAAGACTGCACCTGTCAAGAGACGAGATAGAACGTGAGCTTTATTGCGTTGAACAAAGGAGTAAGCTTATGCTTCTGCAGCTTTATAACATAGTTATAGAAACTGTGCCTATAACCTACCACGAGAACGGCGTTCTGAAACAGAAAAAACTCACAACTATTTAGCAGTTATAATTCCCTACTTTCAAACTAAATACAATTTCGTAGAAAATCCAACCGTCGAAAATGTATTAGCAGTCCACAAAGCATTTCTGTATAACGATATAAAAAAGAAAATTCGTCACGTAAAGCTATAACGAAATACGCAAAAATGAGTTAGCCTCAATGTCAAAGTCATTAATGTGGCTATGATTTGGAAATATCAGCTCACAGGATGAAGCGCGATACGTCACCTCCAAGACAGAAATATGTTTGAAGCTGAGAAAGGTATGCGCCGACACTGTAGGCAACGTATGAAGACGGTGGACTATCCAGCAACACTACGAAAAAATGTTATATCACGATATAAAATGAAGTCCGCGATGCATTTATTTGGAACTCTGTAGAGAAGTATGGTCTGCAAGCATTCCCAGGCATTTGAAGCCATTTTGCTCAGGAGGTCGTGCGAATGAGGACGTAGAGATCAGAGTTGATACGCGAGTGAAAACAGCTCTAAAGATAAGTGCGAAATGACCGGATATCATGATTCAGGGTAAGAAGCGGCTTGAAGTAATCATGATAAGGGTTGGCATCACTAGTCAGGACAAGTTGATGACAGTCGAGACCAAGAAGAAGCAAAAATTTGATCTACTGTCTAACAAGCTTGAGTCAGAGATGAAATGCAAAACCAAAACAATTCGGTATGTGATGATATGGAACGGGATTGTAACAAACTTCCATAAATGTTATGCGAAGGAGATCAGTATATCTGATCATGTCGAGGCATACATTCAATCGATCGTTTTTACGAAGACGCTCGAAAGCATCTTCTTTGACAATCGATGTGGATTCCACAAGGACGAAGCGAGAACGATGAGCATAACAAATCTGAGCTTGGTACAAGTACATCCACAGTGCCGGAATGCGATCCAGCGCCAGAACCAAAGTGAAAACGAAAACTAACTTCCACATTATATATATATCGTGTTATGGAATCTTGCAAAAATTATTGATTTTTACCGTACAACACTAGGACAAGTGCTAGGATCCTTTAAAGCATCACGAATGAATTCCCATAATTTGTTTCCTTTGGAATGTTGCGAATGTTTTCTTGGCCTCCCATCTTTATTTTTTCTCACTTTACAGTGAGTTCGTTGCAACGTGATAGGTTCAAGTGGCCTAACTGAAATACTACAATAATTGCAACAAAGCGATTTAACTTCCGTTTTTAAGATAAACCAACTTTTTACTTGGATCAGTCCAAAACTCACATCAGTGTATTTTGAACAGTTCATATCAACCGCAATTTAACTGCGACAAAATTCAAATCAAAAAGCCAAATATCATTCACGTTGTCAAGAAAATTGGACTCACCAGATGAGCTGAAATCAGAAGTACCGGCAGGATCTGAGTCTACTTGCGATTTCCCCAAAGACAGGTCGCATGAGCCAGCCTGAGTATTATCAGGAAGCAAAAGTGACGATAATACATTCGTTGGAACCCCACAATTGGCAGATGAAACTGTTCTGAAAACTGATATGTGAGTAATAACACGTATATTCTTCACCATACTTCGTGTCACAGAACAAAACAGAAAAATGGGCCAACTTAACTGTTAAGTTTTTCAGTTATGAAAGATTATGGTTAACATATTTTTTAGTTATGAAGGATCTCGTCCATGTAACTAATCAAGAGTAAATGATGATAAACAAAATAACTTGATATTGTTAGGTATTCCACTAGTGCTTGCTCCATCCTGTAATTTATAAGCATGCACCCATCCGCCGATCAATCTTTCTTCTGAAACGTAAATGACTGTAAGACTCATATCAAGTAAAACTTGAACTATTATTCGGTTCTTTTGTTTTTGAACAGCATAACAACAAAAAACAAGGAGTTTTCAGCCAGTCTGCAACTCCTCTTATGAGACAACTCAAAGAAAAGCATCGAAATTACAAAAATGTTTACAAATATTTTACTTAGGTCACTTTGTAACCCCACTTTATGACAAAACAATTTCTTTTAAATGATAACAAAGAAACAAACCAGCTATCAATTTCCTAAATTCTGAGTACAAAAGTGAACCATAGACAGCATCACGTCTTTTGAAATCAATTTCATGCATCTGAGTCAGCACAGAACCAGTACAGTTCGCAAATTTCTGCATTTCTAGTTCTTCATATGGAATACCATTCCGTTTAGCAACATGCAATAACCAAGCAATAACATCTTCCATAGACCACTCCTGAAATAACTAGAAATAACAAGGAACACTCAATCATTATCGTTCAACCGTTTTATAAATTCATTCGGAATCCAGTGCATAAAACCATCTCATAACGTATTATTCAAATGTAATACATGGATTTTTTGAAAGAATAACATTTTCGCTCCATTTGTTGAAGACATCCCCAAAGATAGGTCGCATGAGACTTGATATCATTTTTGCCAACAGTACTTTATATAACATATGATGATTCTTTTATGAACGCAAAATTACAATTAATTTATTTTTGAATTTTGGTTTTCTTATTACACACCACTTTTATTTCTTGGCTAATATTTTCGAAAGGAGACATTTTTGCTTATAGTAAAAGTTGGATGTGATTCATTTTACAGCTAATTCCTTTAACCATGACAACTGATGCAAATAGATTCAGATTCTAAGCCGTCACGAATAAATACAATTTTTGACGAGTTGAGTGGGTCATCGAGAAGACCACTTGGCAAACTAACGTCAACTATGCGATTCATATGTTTTTGTTGAAAAAAAAAAGACTTTAATCACAACGATGACTTCTATCATTGTATTTAATAAAAAAAGCAGACCCAGAAACCAGATTCAATCTTTTAGACAGAAAATTTGCTACCTATAAAATAGAAAACTGAGGACATTTTCTACTTCAGTGTTGGTATCAAACAATTTTCCATGTAGAAAATTATAGAAATATAACGTATCAAGTACTGGAAGTTGAATTTACTAACATTCAGTGAAGCAGTAAATCTTGAACTAGCTTCTAGTTCCAGATGAGTTTTTATGATCATGAAATAAAAATAAATCAAATATTTGACCTGCGGTTCCTTTGTAAGAAATCGCGTCAAATCAACACGTTCATTATTGGGTATTGGCTTGAACGAAGAAACAGCCGAATTCATATGCGTACGCAATACTTCGTTTCCAAAGTGGTCGAATAGCGCGGGTAAGCACATGAGCGGCGGACTGAACGCTGCTGTAGGGCTTCTGAGTATCGCAGGATGTTCTTCTGTGATGCACACCTGAAACCAACTCTTCATCCAAACATAATGCAATGAACGAAAGTTTACAGAAATGAAAAACCAATAACAAAATACTGAGGATTTGGGACGATGAGTTAATGGTTTAAGATACAAAAAAACAGTCATCATAATAGGTGATGTTAAACTCTGCAAGCAAAAACTTTCCATGAATCTTGAAACAGTGTAAAAATTGATGCAATGAAAATGAACCTAAGAAGTGAAAACTTCAGGATGGTCACAAAAATAATACTAGATTGTCTTATTTTTGAATCACAGAAAACCACAAACGACATTATCATTGATACGTACACACAGAGAGAACTTAAAAATCTTCACCAAAAAATTCACTTCATTACGCTAACCTGCAAAGAAATTTTCTTGCTTTCTCAACGACCTATATTTTCAGAAGCAGCTCCCGAAATATCTCGAGTTAGGCTATCTGAGATTCATCTCCTACCTCTTAGCCAGCATACTGATTGATCTTGAGAGTATCCGAAACTAAAATTGCCAAAGTATACTTCCACGAGGAAGTACTCAAAAAGATAAATGAAGTCCTCTTCACTACTAAACATTACAGTGGTCTTTTCTTTTTTGTAAATATTAATGCTAATTACGAGTAATGTTGGAGGTATGATCCATGAAGTTCGAGAATGCTTTCGCATTATTATTATATGGTCTTACAAAAGGATAATTTTGCACATTTGTATTATACCAAATTTAGTTTGAAAGCCTATATAAGACAAATCGGTATCAATGGAAACACCCTAACTTCAGAATGATAGACTTTGACCTGAAAAGCCAGTATGCACAGGTGAATTTCCTGCCCAATTTAATCCACTCTCGATTAAGTACCAATTTTCACATCATCTTTGACATTTTGGTTTTCTATACCTTATCCAAACATTATGCTGGAGTTCTTCGATATAAAGACCATATAAATAATTTCAGCTTAACATAATCACCAACCATCTCTAACTTTTTTTTACTAGAAAATACAACCAGTTTCTAGCATGAGCAGCTTACTGAGTGAATTTCCAATGAATCTTAATGTCACGTAATTTGAAACCTTTGGACTTTGATAAAAAAAACTGATTTAAAAATTTTTGAGGAGTAAAAATGGCTAATTTTAACCAAGGGAATTGGTGATAATCAGAACAAATTTCGGTTTAACATATGAAAACCAAATATTATATGGGTGCATAAAACTGTCCATACTTATCTATATAGAAAAGTGAACATTCATCGTGTAAGAGACGATAAAAAACTGAAATAACTTCCCACGTTTCTTTCACTTTTTAAGAATCACCATATTTTTGGTCAGATCAGAAGAGAAAAAACAGTTCATTGTTGGTCAGAAAGAGTAACTGATAATATGCTCAACAGTCGATGTAAAGTACTGTGATAGCATGGCTAATAATTTGTACGCTTCCATATTAGAAATAATGCTATCTTCAATAAAATGCCAGAATTATTTCTAAATGATACTAGAGTAAGTTACAATTCATTAAAAAATATGACTGAACGCTTTTCAAACTTTAAATTATTTAGAAGACGCAAAAGTAAATAATACATGATATATGTCCATATCTTTTAAAAAAATATACATGATACGTAAAGATATAAGCCACAATTTTTATTTCTGCACTTATATCGTCCTATGTTTGTTTTCTTGAAAAAGATTTTTGAAAAATTCACTTCCCATGGTTTGACATGATACACATCTATCAACATACACATATACACACGCATTCGTACGCACCAGCATAAGTAAACAGTTGAACTAATACAAACTACGATTTAGTGAAGCTGCTGATGGTTAGCAAGAAAAAAGAGCAATTGAGTACGGCTAACAAATACACTTTTTGTACAGAGTAAAAGATAGATTCAAATAAATAGGAAAATATTATGCGTACAAATTGATGCACCTGCTGTTGAGAATCAGTTGACAGTAACAAATCAGTTCTTGTATGAATGCACGGTAAAGGTACAGATTGATAAATAAAGGGATTGAAATGATTGGCAGCGTAAGAAAAATTATTATCTGTATGCTGCGATGAGATGGGTATTGGCCGTGGAATATGTACAGAAAATGCGCTGTTATTCGATGATGAATCAATCGCGACTTATCTGAAAATAAAATTTCTAATGAGGATTAATTAAATTGCAGAAGTCTATTGCAAGGAATACAAACTGAATGAAAAATAAGTGCTTTAACACCATACCGATTTTGCATATAGTTGGAAATGAATATTAGAATATATACTGGTGAAAGATATCAGACGATTACACAGTATTAGTTTACGTGACAAACATCATAAAATAACAAAGAAAATGATGACAATTGTGCTAATAATGATTCAGTCGTTTTAGATAGTAGCATATTATCAATCAACTAACAATCATTTTGCTGCTTCATCTTGCTAATTCCCTGCAAATTTTTCCTGAAAAAAACATTACACGGATGTCAAAGATATCAGTCTGATAAATTCAGTGGTGATAAGATAAGCATAATTGCGAAAGAGATAAAATTGATCGTAACAACGCAGATGATTAAGAAATCTCAATGACCTCTTTCATGAAATTCAACAATAATTATGACAAAAGATAACATCACTACAGATACTGTTATTACTGTTAGTGCATTCCTTTTTTCTTTTGTTTACTTTTTAATTATGTGAAGTCTCATAATGTCAAGGTTATATAACAAATTACTTGAACATGTTAAAAGGAAAAAATTGCGCTAAAAATTGGAAACTGCAGTAACATGCAAATGGAAAAGCAATTTTTAGCAATGAATTAATAGAGCAGTAGGGTAACTAAGAAAAATGAAAAGTAGCGGAAAGAAAAAAGCAGAACGAGCCTGGGTAAGAGAAAATATAAAGCAGTACCAGCCATTAGTGGCCTACCACAAATAAAGTGATGACTGCTGTTGTAGCTTTCAGCACGCGATGTGTATCGTTAAATCTATAGTTTAGACCGCCAATTTGCGGCACATCGCTCTGCTTTAACGCAAGATAAGTACTTTTCTTTTGGCTTTTCATTGCTATTGCAAACCTACATAGGAGCAAACGATGTGATGATACAAATTTTCAGATCAACTTGTTTGAACAGCCAGTCAGTGACAGTACAATCAACTAAAGATCAATGTAAACTCGCAGAATAACGTGACAGTCACTGCAGTTAGTAGATAACAGAAAGAACAGGCAGTACAAGTTCATTTCACCAAGGAAACATAATCCTTTTCATATGTAAGACCAGTTAAACTAAAATTTATCTCGTTAGTGTAGATGACGATAGTCACCAATCAATTGCTGCTTCATTATTTGGATGACCTAGTGATCTTAAGTAACTCAGCCAAAGATGACGAAGCTATGCATACAGCTGATGTTTAGTTTGATAATCTGAAATTGTTCACATAACCGCTTATTTCATTAGGATTTCTTGAGCTGATGGACAAACTGAGGTAGAAGCAACGAAGTTGAAATAAATGACCATTTTTATAACATCATAGTATGCATTTCAATGCCTACACAAGTACTGTCGAAAACCCATATGCATGCCACACCATCTACGTCTGATGAATAATTACGTACCAACAAACAATATGAGCAACACAAAAGAGCCCAGCACCTTCTACGTTTTTGGTATGTGTAAATTGTACGTTAGTAATATGAGGAAAGGGGAGGAGAGGGGAGTAGCTGTATTCAAAAGCACCCAACATTTCACGCAAAGAATATTTTACACGAATGAGAAGAATGGAAAAGAAACAGAGCACAAAAAGAGGAAATAATAAGCGGGACGGAGAAGGAAAAAGAAAGCAACGAGGTGAAGATAGTAAATAAAAAGTTCATTGCTACAGTTGAAATTGGAAACTAATTACGGAACCCTAAGCATCGACATCAAAAAAATCTTCGTGATCCATTATTTGCTGCTTCAGCTACTATCAAATCGTTTATCATCGATATACACTTGAAAATGTGTACTCAAAATATATGGGAGAATGATCCTGACAAACGCCCCAAAGATTTAAGTGATAACTAAGAAAAGAGACGAAAAAATGAGATCCATTAAATCCCAACTAAATAATAATTACTTAAATCTAGTTTACATCAGTTCTTCTGTATCTGATTGAAGCCAAATATTGTTGGTACGAAAACAGACTGCAAGGAAAGTTCACGTACCGATGCACCAAACAAGATTAATGCTTTCAGCGCATCCCTGGCTACAGTTAGTGTTATTAATGAAGTTACAAAGATGTTGACATGCTCATTACTGCAAAAAAAGAAAATTAATAACATCAAAGTAATTATAGCCAAGAGTGAATATCACAGAATTGATGAAAACAAGAGAGCAGCAGCTACATAATAACAGGGTGTGGTGACCACAACTTAATTCAGCAATCATACGAAAATGTACAATAACCATTATGTAGTCATGTTATGAACAGCTGCCGACAACCTAATTTGAAAACCCATCAACAATACGATAGACGAGAAGAAGAGGCAAAATTCAATTCTGATTTATCGATAAAAACTTCTGCAACAGCTTTATCCATGCTTGTTTCTTTCATAATCATGATGTAAAAAACTACTACATAGTAGTGGCACAATACTTTAACATACTGTATCACTACTATATGTTCACCAACCAAATGAAATATTGATCTAATCGCTGCTGCACAATTTCATCCGGAATCATGATGCTTTTAATCAGTGAAATATGACAATAACCATAATACTCCATCTTAATAACGTAGAACCAAATTTCCAATTCAGCAGCTTAAAAGTTCTGGCAATGTTGTTAGAGCAATGCTCCTCCTATCAAAAGATGAGCAGAGCAAAGAGAATGTGTAACTGATTCTTCAAGTACTTCTGGTTTTAATTTGAAGGATGGGTTTTGAGCGAATTTATTCGCTCAAACTAAGGAACATCAAATCAATTCCTTAGAGATTTAAGCTTGACTGTTCAATTTTGGACCGAAAAATGAATTTCGTATGATCATTTGATTCGTAAAGAATGTGCTGTTGGTATTATTTATATTTCAAGACAAATGCTTCCTAAAGCTTACAGTCAACTAAATTTATTAAGTATTTTAAAAAAACAGTATCTATTCCTTCTCAATTACTGCACTTCTATCAATTTTATTTGTTTTGTGAACATAAATCACCATCCAATTTTCAGTGTATGAAAAATAAGAAATTGAACCTTGCATATTTTCGATATCAAATAAGCAAAGTATTTAAAATTAACTGTTAAAAATAAGATCCATAAAATAGAACATGTAAGATATTTTCTGTTGATATATAGTGTGGGCTTCATCGATGCAAAAATTCTATAATACACAAAAAAAATTCAATGATCATAGAAACACAGTCACCCACACATTATAGTGGTACCAAGTGATAAGATAATTATCGGCGAAAATGATGGCATTCAGTCTTAGCTTTAGATGATCCAAACACAGTCACGCAGTGCCCCTACTTTCGTGCCAAGCTTATATTGCGTAGTAAGAAATAACAACTGCTATCAATGCTAACAATAATGAGGTGATAGTAAAAGCCAGTAAACTTTTTGGATGTTTTGATTATCACAACTGAAGTGGGAGTGACGTGCTTTGTTCTTTGAAAAAAGAAATAGCTCAAAGGAAAAATGCAAAGAAATGGCATAAAATAAATAAAAGACGGATGAATGCATGAATGGCTGCTGGCTGACTGGTTCTGCACAGATGAGGGAAGGGGTTGAACTAGGTGATCAGCAGAAGTCACCGGATGCAAAAACAATTTCAGCAGGGAATGCAGAGGCAAGAAAAAGTGAGTGGAAAGAGATGGCAAAAAGTACCAGCAATGTGCACAAAACTCCTTATTTTTGTCGTCCTCTCAGGTAACTAACTGTTAATATGGGACAACTGTGTGCGAATATGAGGATGCGTCAGAGCTGATCGATGTGTTTGGTATAGCAGTTATTTCATAGAGAGAAAAACACCAAGCTGATGATGAAACCACCCTGCTAATATCATTCAACAGTATGTTTAGATATTCAGATAAATTCAGACAGACAAATAGACAGATTAACAAGCAGGCAGGCAGACAATTGTTGTTTGGGGTAAGGAAGCAGAACACGCCTTTTCTGATTGGCAGCAGGCAACTTTTTCTGTAAAGTGCAACGATCAATGCAGTGTTGCTTCTGCTACCAGTAATACCACTACGAATGCTGCTACATTACTAATATAATGCTTAAACCTTTCCTATACTTGGCTGTGTGCTCGCTGTACTTTTGCTACTGTCTCTCATCCCCTGCATGCTCTGATCCTCCTCTCTGCAAGCAGCCGTTCCCTGCTTCTTGCTCCAGCTACACCATACTTCCCTCATTCATGGCTCACATTTTCCCACTTGCCCTCTATCCCTTAATATTCAGATGGACTGTTTCGTTCATTTGTGGTATTGAGTTTAATGGAGTGTATGTTGACGTACCTTATATGAATCGTGCAGATATTCATAGCTGTTTTCAATTCGTGCTAAGTGTTCCTTTTCCGTCCTGTTCTACGTTGGTAGTCGCTTACCCTTTTTCAACTTTTCTAGTTCACGATGAGCGAAAATTGTTTACTCACACTTGCTCATGCATACAAGCGCTTCTAGAAAGGCAAATAAGTCGTAAACATAATTAACTGCCATTTGCATCTTTCTGTTATACTTGCCGTTTTTGTGTTTTTCCTGTTAAAATACGAGCAATTACTACATCCTCACTCATCGCGCAAAATTGTTAACGAACATCCACTCCTCTCATGAAACAGATGGTTAGTCATTTGAGTAGTCCAATTTTACATTTTTTGGATGATGTAATATTCACATGTGATTGCAACAGGCATTTTTACTACTTGTGGGACCAGTCATTAACAGTTGCGACTATACGTACACAACATATAGACACAGTGCTCCTTTGCGTGCAGATATTTCCTAGTGGAAGAAATATTCCGGAATCTTAAGTTGTTGCATCCTGTAGTAATATACTCATCCCTTAATTACTGCTTTCATCAACGATTCTATGACATACTGTCAACTTCATTGTATGTGAAACATAGAAAGTGACTTGCAGCGAGAATAAGCATAAATTACAAACAGTCGTTTCCACGAAAAGCCCATGCGGTTGTTGGTAGTTGTTTGTATAATTTATGAAAACAAATCAGACAAGTCATACATCGTGGAATCATTTGAAACGGTACTAGCATTTTGAAGTCAGCAATCCCAATATGACCACAACGCTTATCGAAAGACTACGTTCGTTTAGAACAGGTAGGAGACATCTTTCTGTCAGGAAATAACAAGCTAACAAAATAGCATAGATCCTACACAAATGCCAATCGTAAAGAAGGCAAAATTTTTTTTGACGATGAAAACGATTATAAACCAGATACAGCTCACATGAAAGAAATCAAAAGCTCTAGAACCAAAAAGTGTGAGATCAAAAAAGGATTAAAACAGATATATAATCAAAATTACATGTACCATCATCCACATTATGCGCAGGATTCAAAAGGGACAATAATCAAGTGAGAGATTCCTCGAAAGGATTTCTCGGAAAACGAAAAAGTTTGTCCATTCTTGATTAAAAAAAAAAAACTCATCACAACTCTGCTTATTTTGGAACTGAAGAGAAGCCATTCCAGGAAATAAACATACGTACACAGCCCAAAAAAATAGACACCAATACAAACAACGATTCATTCACTCATAATCGTAACTTACAGCTCACATATGGTTCGGGCACATCACAGAATAGTTCCCAACACAAATACATGTTTCAGGTACTCTACAGATTAACGAGTTATATTGCTTAAAAGCCTTTCTTGCGGTAGTTCAATGCTTACTCCTTTCGAATGATTACAAGCGTGATGAGTGCCATTATATGACATTCGATTGAGTCGTGCTGATTGAAACAAAAGAAGCAACAGTCCCAAGAGCACAAACTGAAACACTCATTCTACATGTTTTCAAAAACGAGTAAACGCGATTTTTAATAATCACAACATTCAGTAATGATTTGTAATAGCATTTCCTATATACTTTTCTCTGTATGATTTGTAATAGGAAATGCTATTACAAATCATACAGAGAAAAGTTCATTTGTAAATAGTAAGCAGTTTACTTCGATAAGAATGAAGATTATCGAGATATAGGCTACAACTCTAATCTCTTCAAAAAGCCAGTCTGTGTAAACTTGACTGCAACCCTGCAAACAATATCATATAAAATTTTCGAGATATAATTAAAGAATTTTTCATAAAAAATTGATCATAAAAAGGAACCCTATAGTACCACGAAAACCAATTTTCTTTTCCTTTGCCACAGTTTTCCTTAGAAGAGTTTGGACTGAAATATATCACATCACAACAACTGTCAGGGACATACGAACTGTTAGGCCATTTTGCGATTCCAAACCAATCCTCTGGTCCGTCTACACCACAACAGTGGAACTGAAAACATAAGAAAAGTTACGTATACTAAAGTATTCTTTTCTTTCACCTATAGCAATACCACTTTGAAATTTAACTAACCAATGTTTGCATCTGATCCCACGTTATCTGACCACTTACGAATACTTCCTTGTGATTTTGCAAGCTTTGTTCCATATCATATCGAATATGTCGGTAAATGTCAGAATGATAATTCAATGCGAGAATGCTTATAACGAATTGAATTGTTAACAGAAAAAGCACGAAAAAAGTGTACTGCAAAGAACTATTCTACAAAACTTGTTACCGTTTTACTGCTAACACTCCAGGATTGCTCGTCTGCTTTCTGTACGGCAGAATTTTATTTTCTGATAGCCGTACCAAGTGTGAAATCTCAAAAAGATCTAGTAGCATCGTTAAAATTACTTTATGATAAAACTTACAGCAAGTAACAGCAAACGTGATTCAGTCCAGACTCCAAAAGAACCAATAACAGAAATAATCATCACCGTAAGTCCAGCTGCAACACATAAGCCTATAGTAGAATAAGTACCATATAACGATGGTGTGAGATCAACGTAATTTTGCTTTGATGCGTATGACCATAATCCGATTATTAATGAGCCAAGACCAAACACCTGAAATGATATATGATTTCAAAGTAATCGTGGAAAGCATTCGTTATATTTGTCTCGTTTCAAATAATTATACTCAATACAAAACTGAAAATTTAGTGTATTATCCAGTAAGGAAACTGTGCAGCAAAAAGCTAAAGTTATAGATAACTGAGAAAAATTACTTACCCAGAAGACAGTGTTGCAAAATATAAAGAGCTTCTTTTGAACGGTGCGATTTAATATACATTGTATCATTTTAATACCCAAATGCACTAGAAAGGAAACATGAACATAGAAATATCTCTTTCTTATAAGTTAATTATTTACTGGTATCTCAATTTTTAATAAAGAGATAGATTGTGAGTGAAAGGTAACTACACAATAGGTAACTCAAGCTTTATCTGTGTTCCATCATGATTATGTGCATGAACCTGTTAATAAATGAGATATAAAAGCTTTTAGCAATAAATCTGTATGCTATGAGCAATAAATCAAAGCCAAGGCAATTTCAAAATAAAGGCATAAACTATCAAGTCACAAAAAAGACCCTAAGTAACAAAAACCACAAACGTATAACTGTGAAGTGCAAATCCAATCTACTGAACTGTAGCTGACACCTAGAAATCCGCGATCAAAACAAAGCCGAGGAACAATACCACTATCAACGCACTTTAGACGAAATTCAAAAACTAAAAATACCGAGTTAACCCGGGAATAGCATAGTGAAGGTGGATGAATTTGATGGGCCGCGAAATAATGTGAAAATTTACTTAGCTTTTCTCATAACTAGCAAATCTATCAATGTTTCTTAAAGAGGTCTGGCAACTTTGGTCGCATTTGTCACAGTTTGGATGAAATTTCAATACCTCATCACAATTCTTTTTGATAACCTGTCGTTATCTTTTTTATGCTTAATTCTTCCAATCTTATATGGATGGATCAATGCATATTTTAATAGTAAAACTCACAAATCAGAGTTTGTTGATATCACGGCGCTCCGTTTTCTCGATCTGCATTTCTTGAACGTACGTTTGCATCGCTGTTCATTAGCAAGTATATCATACTTTCGCTTCTTCTCGGTCTCGACTGTTATCAACCTGTCCTGACCAGTGATGCCAGCCTCTATCAAAAGTAATTCGTGTTGCTTCTTGAGTACACGAGGATGTTCGGTCGATTCGTCTTTATTCTAATCGTAGTTCTTACTCACCTAACGACTCTGATTTCTACGTTCTTATTAGTGATGATTTCCTGAACACAATACCTCCGCATGCATGGGAATGCTTTCAGACCATACTTTTTGCTATGTCCTAAATGAATACATCGCATAACTTCATTGTGTA